CTACTGTGTGATAAACATGTTACAGCGGTAACTCGTTCCTTTTCAAAAGATTATTTAATAAATGACAGTTCAATGTACACCAACAACCTGAGACAGATCGATATACATAAGTGCATATTTGAGAACTTACATATGTACATTACGGTGCCTCGCTAAAAAAAGTTGCGGGTTTTCCAATGGAATTATAACATTTATTACTAGCTTTTGTTAAGTTTCACCTATGTGTAATCAAATTTCGGAATACATTTTAGCATACTTCCCGACGAGTTAGAGACTTGAAAGTTTAAGCTAAGCTGAGAGCCCGCTGACAATGTTATATTAAAGATTAATTAATCCGCTAGGTGTCGCAGGAGTTGAGATATTTCTTTTTAATTACTTATTAGGGGTCTTCATCAAAAGTGATAAACTGTTGATAAACTTGATAAAATGATAAATTTATCATTTTGATCTGATTGAACTGTCAAACTTTGCATGGAAATCTATTTAACCGAAGTTTATCAGTTTATCAAACAATTTTGGTGGGTAAACGTATAAATTTCAGCAAATTTCAACCCTGACGGACTGTCAGGTGGTCGATTTTGCTACGAACACATAAAAAGCAAATTTGCACAATGGACGAGGTAGGAATGAAATGTAACTAGTCAGATAAGATAAATAATAGACGATTTTGTGCAATTATCAACCAAGGTGCGTTCATGAAAGACTGCGGATAAACTGATAAATTTAAGCAAAAATATCGTTTTTTTTCATATAGGCTAACTTTTATCATTGGGTCAAAATGGTAGGTAAGCATGCGGCACTTGCCAATAAAATATTGGGGTATGATAAATAAAATATTAACTGAATTCAATCTTTTTTTTTAGCTTAAGCTCTTTTATCATCTGAGGTTATTCTTTTGAAAAAATATCTTTCAAAACTAATTTTATTTATAAAAAAATCGAATTTTAGAAGTATTTTCGAATCATTCCAGCTGACGTAGATCGTAACATTTTTCTGAAATATTTCGACTGAAGTCTTAAAATAACATTAAATTTATAATTCCGATGGAAAAACAATTCCCTTTTTTGTTTTTGAATGAAATGTGATGCACCTTAATATACATACATATATGTTTATATAAATGTAGGAACGAATGTGTCAAAAGCATTTTAGATGAGGGTATGGCGAAAGAAATGGCGCTACTTAATATTACATCTTATTATTATAATATTTGCAACGATTGATGTTTACATATGTACATACATACATACATATGTATGTACTTATGATCATCATACATTTCATTGTCAGTGGGCCAAGTTAAAGTGGAATGGGCATATCGAATTACTTCACGAGACACATATGTATATACATATGTACATACAATTGGCAATGAATACCCACAATGATTTGTATTAAATAACGTTCATATGTACAAATGTACATAAGTATGTATGTATGCAGCATTCGATTGTACTGTAGACAAATGTACACTTTAAGAAGAGTATTACATATTAAAGATTTCTGTAACAATTAAATAAACACAGGTAGTTACTTAGCAGCTAACTTATTTGGTTATCTCTTCCGCCAACAGTAGTAAGTCTTTAATAAAGTCGCTTACTTAATCATTATTAGTTAAGTTATCGCGTAGTTGCATTTAACTTATCGCGTAGTTGGATTTATCTAAAATATTAAGTTTTAGCAAAATAAACACATAAACTAGCATGCCAATATTTACGTACATATGTGCATATGTACATACAAAGGTACTTACTCAGCCAATGAATACAGAGCCGGGTACAGCGCCCTCATGTCAATCGCAAGCACAAGCAACTATATACATACATACATGTGTATGTACTTAATGGCATATTGAGTGCACTTCAGCCAGCGCCAATATAATCAAGCCACATGCAGATGTGACAGCATCATTACCACTAGTGGGTTCCTCTTTTTGTCGCCGCCACCACACGCTTGTATGCGAATGATGATCATTTACTTGCGCCACAACCATTCCTACAAAATTTAGCGCCCACACCTCACCGGAAACAGCTGAGTTTTGCCGGTTGCAACTACATACATACATACACATTTAGCATTAGCCGGTGCCAAAGGCTTATATAACCTCACTTCCGTCTCAACAACANCACCTCACCGGAAACAGCTGAGTTTTGCCGGTTGCAACTACATACATACACATTTAGCATTAGCCGGTGCCAAAGGCTTATATAACCTCACTTCCGTCTCAACAACGCAATCATCGTATTTGCTAGTTCTGTTATTTTTAGTAGCTGCAGAAAATCAGTTTTATTTTATTTTCTTGTTTGCTGATACTATTCATTACTACTCAGTGCATCGCACACTTCAGTGCTTTTGTGTACAGAGTTAAAATTAAATAATTCATTTACTCCTACATTCATACATAAGTATGTATGTATGTAGATAAATGCGGCAAACTGGAAAAATGTATAGTGTACAGGCTAGCAAGCAATCCAGCGAGCGTAGCAGCAGGTTTAAGGAATTTTCTACCAGTAAAAAAAGGCATTGCAATCATCCAACTTATCACAACGGCACTCCTTTTGTAATATTTAGTAATGCCACTAACACTAAAGTTTAATTGCCAGCGAGGATATGATGCCATCAAGTCTGAGCACACCCGTGTTTGGCTTGAGCCATATTACACCTTCGCTTCTCAACGTTTATGTACTGTTACAAATTAGGTACACAACGTTGCATTGCATCAGAATTTTTTTGTTATTTTTATTTCCTTTTCTACATATTTTCTTTATTTTTATACTTGACTGCTTCTGTGCATACATACATACACATGTTTGTATGTATTGAATGTGCATAGGAATTGCGCCATTCCTTCATTCCTGTCCACCACGTTGTGGTTTTCTGCCATCAAGTGGCTGCAATTTAATTTAAAAATAGATGTCATAATTTCAAGAAAATTTGTGTGAAATAACGAGGCGTAAAGCGCTAGTTATACTTACATATGTACATTGCAGTGCAGGACATAAGACAAGCAGCGCATGTGAAGCAGGGGTGTAATTATAATCCGCATAGAGCGCATAATCTCTCAGAATCAGCTGTACAGTGTAATCTGTATGTCAGTTCAGTGTATACTTTTTTTATTTAGTAGTTTTTTTATTAGTTTTATTTTTTTACAATCTTTAGATTTTAATGTTTAAACACAAAAAAATTTAATTTTTTTCAATATATTTGTATGATATAAACGCATTTTGGTTTATTTCCTAATGAAATTCTTATTGAGCAAATTTCGTCGCTTCATTTTCGCGTTTTTTTTTTTATAAAATGGAAAGAAATAAGCTTTTCCTCCATACTTCTAGTTTTGTGACCGACTCTTAACCAGCTGACAAATTAGTGACTTATTTTTGAGACTAGAGACGTGAGACAGCGTACTGAATACCAAATAGTCTCAAACTCCAAGTTCACTACCAAAAGTCACTTTTAGTGACTAGAGACCGCTTACTGAATGCCAGGGTAACTCTCAGTAAATTTGATAGATAAACAAACAGGGTAAATACTCACAAGCAATGAGAGTGGCATGTGTCTTTGAAAATGTCACATAGCGAAAAATCAAAATTTACCAAACTTCGCTGTCATGCCCTGTCACGCGCTGCGTCGGATAATCGCTTGCATGCAAAACTCATTAAAAAGGTGCGATATGTGACTCATGTTATACACTGCACTTTCTTAATTTGATGTGTTTGGAGTACGCGTATTAAAATTTTTGCAAAAAAGTTCTTGAAAAAATTAGTTTGAAAAGTTATATTTTTCCCTGTAAAATTTTACAAACTGGGCTTAGCAACTTTTCTTCTGCATCTTGGAATAATTTAGTAAAGAAACACACTTACAAACACCTAAAACAAATCAGCTGCAATTTGTCAACGAAGAAGAAGAACGGAAAAGACAAAGAGAAACGGAAATGGAAACGGTGCGTGGATGCGCCACGGGTCCGCTATATTTTGAAGACAATCAAAAAAAACGTATTTCATATCAAAAAATTCAAGAATTCATAACCTTTAATTAATAATAATAATATTTTGGCGCTTACACTTTTGCTTAGTGTTTGACCCAGCTTCTCCTCCAATTTATGTATGTAGGTATGTTGTGCGTTCTAATCTTATGCACAACAAAAATGTAGGACAAATAATTTTAATGAGAAGCTTTCTTGCTTTGCAGAAATGCATTTGGAGATTTGTCATTGCCTACCGAGGGCAAGCGCTGTTAGAAAAAAAGATTCTAATTAAGTTGTTAANGCTTACACTTTTGCTTAGTGTTTGACCCAGCTTCTCCTCCAATTTATGTACATAGGTATGTTGTGCGTTCTAATCTAATGCACAACAAAAATGTAGGACAAATAATTTTAATGAGAAGCTTTCTTGCTTTGCAGAAATGCATTTGGAGATTTGTCATTGCCTACCGAGGGCGAGCGCTGTTAGAAAAAAAGATTCTAATTAAGTTGTTAGGGTCCTACTGAGTGGTATTGACACAGCGGCTGAAAAAGGGAGCAGAATAAAATTTTGTAAATTTAGCAAATGAGGGAATTGATCAATTCGACATACAAACACAACATTCGAAAGCATATACTTACACTGTACTAAACTGAAGTAAATTAACACACTTTTAGTATTTATACATGTATATTACACCTGCTATTTTTACTGTAACAAAATATGTACATATGTATGTACATATGTACAAGCGCCTAATAATTTGTATGCATATTTTTCTATTTTCCAGGTGTNGCTGAAAAAGGGAGCAGAATAAAATTTTGTAAATTTAGCAAATGAGGGAATTGATCAATTCGACATACAAACACAACATTCGAAAGCATATACTTACACTGTACTAAACTGAAGTAAATTAACACACTTTTAGTATTTATACGTGTATATTACACATGCTATTTTTACTGTAACAAAATATGTACATATGTATGTACATATGTACAAGCGCCTAATAATTTGTATGCATATTTTTCTATTTTCCAGGTGCTGCTATCAAATGTTACGTATGCAATAGCCATAAGGATGCAAATTGTGCACTGGACATACCACCAGATCATTTGCTCAAGGACTGCCAGGAGGATTACTCAACACGCGGCAGAGGCATACCGACTTACTGCCGCAAGATCTCGCAAATCATTGAATTCTCTGTAAATAATCNTTTTTTTTTTTTTTTTTTTTTTTTTTTTTTTTTTTTTTTTTTTTTTTTAGTAAGCATATCGTAATATTGTACTCCAATATTTCCCTCTCATTGCAGTGCCACCGGACAGCCGTATTATACGTTCATGCGGCTTTCTCAATCAGACATCGACTAATTACTGCTACCAGCGCGCCGGTTTCGGTGGCCGTCAAATAGTTTGCTCTTGTGACAAGGATAATTGCAATGGCGCTGGTGCGCTCAGCGTGTCTATTGGAGCGTTGTTAACTGCTGGCGCTGCTAGCGTTTGGGGTGTGATTTCCCTGCTAAGACGTTCATTGGTTTAATTGCCCACACTTATTTTGAGAAACATTTTACAGAACCTCACAAAATACATAATAGTTTGGCTTTGTTTTCAATTTTGTACATTTTCCTATAGCAGAAAATATTATGCTAAATCGTTGTTGTTGGTTTTTTCTTTTTGTTGTTGTTGTAAATGCACACTCGTGTAAAAATTGCAAGTGCAAACGAATAAGTACTTGATTTGCTACCGCTGCATAATTCCTCCAGAAAGATTTAAATATGCGAGACCTATTAAGTTTATATGCATTGTTTTTTTTCATATGTATGAATATTTTTTCAATATTGCTTCATTTTTTTAAGCAAACACACGGCGATGTAGTAGATTTTTAAATCTTTTATTTTATCACAAATAAATTACTTTCAAACACATACGCACATAAACACAGTTGAAGCTAAACACGAAGCAGGAGCTGGCGTCATATAGAATTTAGTCAAACAAAAACCTCATCTGATGAAGTTGGTTTAAAAGTAAGCGTTTTTAAAAAGCACTTGCGATGAAAGAAATTTAATAAAATTAACTTTGAAATCTTTGCAGTTAAAACGCCCAGTTTCATCGATGGATATATAAAATTTAAGAAGACTCCTAGGAAATAAACAACATAACAATAATTGTTAAAAATAACGTGAAAAAGTTTAAATAATAAAATTCAGTAGCAGTTCAGATTTTGCACAGTTAGTAAAAATGGAAATTAAAGAAAAAAATGCAAATTTTTGCATAAAAAGCTTTAATGTAGCAAATTTTATTTATACACATTTTTGTAAAACAACAAATTACCCAACTAACACAATACACCTGACCAGCGCAAAGCTTGTTTCCAATGCTAACGGCTTGAGGTTATAAAATTCGAATCAACTTATAACTTTTTACTGCAACTTACCCACTATATTTTAGTTTATTTTAATATATTTTTCTTTTGAAATACAAATTTCGCTAATATAACATGTAAAGACACATAGGTATAAACATGTGTACACTAGGACAGACATAAATAGAAGATGAAAACTTTTAACAAGCCCACTTTAAATGACCACATACAAAAAAAAATATATAACCAACTGTAAATCCACCAAAGCCGTATTGTATTATTGTAGAAAAATTTTGAAAAAATTTAAAACTGCAAACTTTTGCGAATAATTGTTAGAAACTTATAACAACCGACGAGCAGAGTGCATTTGGTGCCAAGTGATGACTTTTTCTATAAAGTCGTACATGTAACTAATATTAAACTCACTTGAATTGTAATAATTTTTTTTCGTTTTTGCTTTATGAAAGAAGCAAAAGCAAACAGCTGAAACCAAAAATTAGTTATAGTTTGCTACACAAGAAAGTCGCTGAAATGGAGGCATTTCAGTTTAAATTGAAAATGTTTCACATTTGATTTTCACGTGTGATCTTTCTTAATATTAAGCGATTATAAAAGTAATTAAAACTATAAAAAATTGAATTGAAATATAAAATAAATCAAAAATGAATAAAGAAAAAAATGTGTTTTATATTATTTGGTAGTAGGGTGAGAGAGAAGGCATAATATAGTACATTATTCACTAGTTAAAATTATATCACTATTACAACCGAAAATTTGTTCCATTTAAGAAATTTTAAATTGAAGTGGAAATAAAATAAATTATGCTTAGATAGTTGCTTAGGCCAGTTTCACGAAAGTAATTATTATTATATATTTTAATTTCGTTTTTTTTATATATAAAAACTAACTGAAGGAAAACAATAATTTTGCACTAAATTGCCCGCGAAAGCGGTAGTGTCATTTTCGAGAAATTGGATTATTGTTGGTAACAGCATAAAACAACCACACACATTTTCATGTATGTACATATCGCTCATTTACTTCAATAGTGTCATAACTCTAAAAATGGACCAAGTAATTTGTAAGCAAAAAACAAAACCTCTGCTCCCTGTAAGACCAAAAACGGTGACAATGAATCGGTGTGGTTAAAAAACTGCGAACCTACTGTTAAATTCAAAAGTTGTAGTGAAGTCGAAATCCCGAAAAGTCCCGGGATCGCGGGATTAGAATTTTTTGCAACCCTGAAATCCCGGGATTGTTAAAATGCTTCGGGATTGAATGCCCTAGCCTCAAAATATGCCGCTACAACAAATATGGCACTACAAAATAGAATTTAAAACTTGTATGCAATAAATTCTAATTTTTGTGGCAGTTTTTGAGGCGCAATACAAATCGCAATAGTAAGGGTTTGAGTTTTGTGACATTGTTAGAGTAGTTAGAATAGTGGGGTTAGTGGTAGACTCGCTACAGTTCGAATATTGAAATTTCTATATGTACTCCCTAGTACTATAAAACAAGCCTCCATATAAAATCTAGATTTTATATATTAAAATCAGTAGTTAATTTCAGTTAATTTAGTTTTGATATTTAAATTATATTTTCATTCTTATTAAAAATTCATACATAGTCTGTAGTAATAAAAAAATTAATCAGTGCATACAAACTTTTCACTCATTATTGTTAAATGTACAAAATGGTTTATGCTATTCCAACTTACTTTTGCTCTGTTTAATAAAATGCTAAATAAGATTATGGAATAAAAGTTAATGAAAGGCGCAAAAATATAGTATAAAAGATAAACGACAACAAATGATCAATGACGCCAGCATTTCACATCCAATATTTACGTCTTGCTCCGGATCGGATACACCAAGATTCATTTGTATTTACGCATCATCCTCCTCGTTATCGGTGACAGGTTCCATGACAGCGTCCGGTTCGCTGCCGTGTCTAACTCGTTTCAGTGCGACATAGCACTTTTTATTGGCTATGTCATGATAGCCCACTGGGCCCATCTCACAGTCTGCGCATATTAAAAACTTATGATTTTCCACTGTATTTGAAAAACCGATATTCTCGAATGTAAATATATCATCGACAAGCCAAAAGTTATTCAGCATTTCTGTTTCAATAATTTCTGCATCCTTGCGATGTTTCTGCTGCATCAGCGGCAATTCGAACTGCAAAGATGTTTCCCCATAAAAAAAGGCGTCTCCTCTTACATCAAATGCGCTTACCTCATGCTCGACATACTGCCCAAGTTGTGGTTTAAGAATTAATGAGTAACAAAAATTACATCGTACACTATGTTTATTTTTATTGTTCAATATCTGCTCAGGAATTTGTGCTTCATCCGTCATTATAGTTTCGTTTTTTATCTGGCCAAATTTGTGCGACGCAACTTTTTAGAAAAGCAATAAATTATCAGCTGTTATTTACAATCGGAAAATGGAGTGGGGTTGTCGAAAAAACATCAATGTATCGAAAATATCGATGTTTTGCTTCGATGCATCGAAATTTTTTTAATCGATGGAAAAACTGGCCGATTTATATATGCTGGAAAACTTTTATTCATACAAATGTTATGACACGACAGTCGCGTCTACGTAACCGAAACAAGTAAATTTCAGAGCGCTTTTGACATCTCCCTTAAGCTGATGCCAGATAAAACTTTGTAGCTTTGCGTGACATTTATAACTTTGCCAGCAAAGCGCCAGACGCAAAAGGTATGCCACAATGAACGCCAAGAAAACAATGTTGTACCGCTTTTTTACTCATCAAAGTTGCTGTGGATTTTAATTATTTTGATTTAAAATTATCAGCAATGTAATTAAGTTTTATGTTTCTGCATGAAAACCCGAATTTGGACGAAACAAAATAAATATTAAACCGGCTGATTGTCAAAGCGCGCAAAAAGATGGGAGTTGACCATCTTTTCGCTTCGCGCTGCCGCTTCAACGATTTATGTGGCATGCTTTGTGCATTTTCATACAATTCATCTTATCTGTCAAAGCGAATCTGTCACGTAAAGCGAAGCAAAAGTTTTATGTGACATCAGCTTAAGAATAAAAACAAACAAAGAAAACGAAAAAGGCTCTGTGATTGAGTGCGACTATATTGGTGTTTAATATAAAATATAATTAGTGAAACTTCATGACAATTAGCAAAAACTGTACATAAAATATGGTTTTCATGATTGTAGTTACAACCGCATATCATCAGCACGGGTCGATTATTCAATGCCAATGTTCTGACCACAAATATACACCCACTTTTCACGCAAATTTAGGCCTTTTGGCAGACCAAACAAACGTACAAACTTGTTCGAATCAAAAAGCACTTCATTTTATATCATAAATGGGTACTAAATCAAAATTAAAACCACCCCGAAGCGATAGAAGGCGAAGTAAACAAAACGAGAAACATCTAAAACGCTACTGATGGTTTGAGAACTCCCGCTGCCAATATCTATGCAACGAAGCGATGAAAAACATCGATATATTTTAGACTCTGACATCTCTAAGAGAGAGCAGTACAAGGAAAAAAGAAAAGAACCGAAATTACCAATCGACTTTAGAAAGCGAGAGTAACCGGTAAGTAAAGAGACTTTTATTTTTAACTTTTATAGAATATTATAGAAAAAGCTAGCATTAAACCACTTTATTTGCATTCAGGAATTTAATAATTTTTTTTACAGCTATAACACAATTTTAATAAACGCATTTTTATTTGAGCGTAATTTATTCCAAATGTGCCATAATATAAACAGCGATTACTAGAAATCAAACACTGTGCGGTATATGTCAGCGGTGTCGATAAACAAATATGGTGAAACTGTGAAATAGTATGTTTTTTGTTTACCTATTGCGGTCATAATTTAATAAAAAAAATATAAATTTGAACTAAAATCCTAATATATATGCGTGTGTTCATAAAGTGATTTATTTCGTATAATCTCTTTACAACTTTTAAAACAGGTCCAACAAAATGACTGCAGAAACCATTGAACCGGTCGACTCGGGCTTTACTAATGAGTACTCCACGGATGCAGCCACCCACAGTACATTCACGAATGCCGCTGCTGAAACCCGTTCGCATGAACAACAGGGGGAAATAGAAGATATTTTCACTTTTCTTAGCTTAAATAAGCAGATTGTATTCAAATCGCAACAAATAGATGACCCAGAACTGAGACAGGATGAAAAAGTCCAAATCGCGCGGGATATTTACGTGAAAAGTCCACAAACGTTTTTAATGCGTTTTGGTAGTTATTTGGAGGAGCATCATCTCACATCATTTGCACAAATAGCCATCACAAATGAAGAGCACAGTGATGAAATGGAGTTACTACTTGCAGACTATCGTAACAAGTTGCACACACGAAAACGTGATGTGAAAAATCGACGTTATGCGGCTATGCAACAACTGATTGCGGATGGTGAGTATTTCAGTGAACAGGAAATGATGAAACGAGCGCCTGAATTGTATCAGGAGTTGGTAGGACAATATTTGAGTGAGGCGGAAAAGAAGCGAAGAGACGGGTATGATGTTAAAAATACTACCTTCTCCGGCATATTAATGCATACGATGGAACAAAAGCAACTTCAAGACGTGCTAAAGTTGGCGGATAAACAAAATGTGAAGAGTATGCAACTTGCACGTGAACTTGAAGGAGAAGATAGTGTCGAAGATGATACAACGCAAAGCACAAAATGTAGTGCGGACGAAGAAGAAATAGAGGAAAATGAAAGAGCGCCAACGGAAGATGATGTTCCTGCTGGTTTCCGCCAACAATGGGGCAATTTCGATAATGAACAAGTCGCTTGCTCCGCCAGTCATCAAACAAAGACAAAATCTAAACAAAAAACAAAGCAGAAACAATTGGTAAGTTTGAGTCAGAAACGGAATTGTGATAACTTCATAACAGCAGGTGAACGGGAACTACTGCGACAAGAATTCATTGGGATTATGCATGAACAGTTTCTTAGTGGTGGAGATGAGGACTTTGATTACACACAGGTCGATGACAACACGCAACTAGATGATTTGAGTCAAATAAATCAGGATAAAGAAGATGCATATTTTGAGGAGAGTGACAACTCGTTTGAAGAAGAGGGAATAATAAAAAGGGAATCTGAGGAACATATCGATGATGAAGAGTCCGACGACGAACTTGACGTTTTTATGAACCATTTGAATAGACATCACAGCTTACAACGCCAGTAGCTTTTAAAGTAATATTTACTACAAAACTAATTATTCAGACTTGTAAATGCAACCGTCAATAATAATCTTCAATAAATTAACATAAACCACACTGTACAACATACAGTTGTTGATCACTATAAATCGTTTATTTTAGTTAAATAACACACTGTACGCTTATTCGATCATGTCCAAAAGACTAACACGTTCAAAATTTCGCAAGTTTAGTAATTAAAAAAAAAAAANTTAGTTAAATAACACACTGTACGCTTATTCGATCATGTCCAAAAGACTAAAAAAGGGTCTCGCTAATAGGGAGTAGCTAGCTACTCATATGCGAAAGGAATATGATCATTCCGCATTTATCGTGGTCGACCACGACCGCGCGGAAAACCTCGTCCACGGCCACGTAATGCTTTACTATTAGCAGGTGGACTTTTCGGGCGCAACGATTCAATGCGACTGGTACAACCTGTTGCGGGTGCTTCCGCAAAATAAGTTTGATACAATTCAGAATTGAAATTAGAGTTAGTCAACTCCGGTCCAACTGTTAACCAGCCTGGTCGTATGCTGGAATCACGTCCAAATAGATGCATGCGTCTGCGTCCCAAGCAAAAATGTTCAATTATGTGAAATATTTCAATCGGTTTCTCAAAACTGCCAAATTCATCCTCCTCCGAGATAATTAGATCGATATCAACATTGGCGTGTATAAAGTCACCGTCAGTCGAACGACGCACGGTTCCCTTAATGCCCATTAAGCAATGCTCTTTCGTGCGTTGAAACACTGCTTTCGGCTCGAGTTGCTTTGAGTGGCCAGGTTTATTGATATTTGTGCGTATCCAGCAAATATCTTCACAGCGACGGAAGCCCCATTTCTTTAAGCAATTGCGGCCCATATCCAAACCTTCGGAGGAACCACACCAAAGAAAAACAAATGAGCGATGCGCGGCCACTTCCCCTACATCTAAATCTATGGAATTAAATAGTTTAATTACCTACTGAATTATGAAAATAGTTCAAAAGTTACTTAATATTTCTTCCCAGTTCCAAAATACGCGAGGTGCCCCACCTACAGTCGCAACCGATGGCGCTGCTCTAGCATATTCTTCCAAAGGTGGCTCAATTAATATAACATCAAACTTAGTGCCTAAGGTTTTCAAATCCAGTGTTTTGAGGTCGGCTTTCAAGTACATTGGCGCCGATGCGGTATCCTGTATTAATTTGTCCTTCAAGCGTATTAGTTCGCGTAGTTTCGGATACTCTTCAAAACGGTCAGCTAATCCCACGTCTCTTATAAAATTTTGTGGTCGTTGTCCAGTATCGACAAAGTGTTGGCAATAATCATTATGCGGATTTGAAGATTGTGTACCCTGCAATATAAGTTCGCAATTAAGCCGTACAAGAATGTCTTACATGGACCTCTATCACCTTTAGAAAAGTGGAGGAGTCCCGATAGATAATTTCACCGGTCGTCTTTTTACCACCACTGCCTCCTTCATCGTCTCTATTATTTACGCCAACAATGCTTCGCTGGCCGCCAAAACCGGAATAACTACCTCCAACACTATTACTCAACTCGTCAGCTGTGCCAAGCACAATTTTCAGCTCATCCACGCTAGAGAGTCCAAGCTAGAAACAAAAAAGTTTATTATGCCCAAACGCGAAAGCTTATAAAGTGCATACTGTTTGAGCCAACAATTGCTTCCGTTTACGCGAACGCTCTTGTGAAATTTTTAATATATCACTCATAATCAGGCAGTTTCTGCAAACTTAGATAATAAATATTTTAATTAAATTGTAAAAATTATGATTTAAACAAAATACAATCAGATTATGCACCGGCTACACAACTCTCCCTTGAAACGGTTTCATTCACAATTGATGACATTATAAAATGTGACTATCTACAATAGCTTTGACTTGTAAAGCCCCCATTACTAAATTTTTGCACAAATCGCAAAACCAAACTAAACCAGTTGTTAAGGAAACAGGAAAATTAAATTTTTTTTTTTTTTTAACCGAAAACACAGAAATTGGTGCCCGGCGTATGAAAGAACATAAACAGCAGACAAAAGTACCGGAAAACCCGACAACCCTAACGGCTTTGTCCCTGTGGACCGACCCTGTAGAGGCTGCACGCTTCCTAGGGCTGCCGTTAGTGGAACTTGACGACAACGACTGAGATATCAACCGATCTGGGCGGAGTTGTTGTAGCCGCTACAACAACAACAACAACTACGGGTTATATAGACCCCC